AGAGAATTAGAGAGTAGGATTGTATGAAGAAGGTGTAAAAAATGTATAGAAAATAGGAGTATAAATAGTTTTTTTTTCTCCCCCCCCACCCCCCACCCCCACCCCCCTCCAACGGCTATAGAGCCGTTTGGAGGCTCCCCAAACACCCCAACGGCTATTAGAGCCGTTTTAAAGCCCAATTTTTTTTTTTTAAATAGATCCGTTAGGCCCGGACCGGGCCCAGCCGGGCCGGGCCGGTTCAAGATTACGAAGGCCCGAGCCCGGACCGCCCTATCCCCGGGCCGGGTAGGCCCAGACCGCCTGAGGCCCGCTAGACCGGGTCGGGCCCGGTTCGGTCCGCCCGGCCCGAGTCCAGCACTAGCCTTTTGGATCAAAAAGCCAAAATACAAAACGCTACAACTCTTAGGGCCTGTTTACTAACAGAAACAATTTTCTGTTTTCATTTTCTGTTTTCAGGTCTCCAGTTTTCTGTTTTCGTTTTCCAGTTTTTTGTTTTCCAAATTAGAAAACATGTTTACCAAAGTTTTTCAACTTTGCATTTAATTTTTTTTTCCAAAAAAACGTTAACTTAATATTTGGAAAAGACTTAAGTAAAAAATAACAAACATTAGAAATAACACAAAAAGGTAACATAAATGTTCTCCAACACAGAAAGTTCAATACATGATTTTATGTTAATCAGAACAACAGTTGTACTTCGTTATCTCATCTCATACATTATAATCATCCCAACACCAAAAGTTCAATACGCAAGGATGAGTGTTCGTAGTTAAATAAAGCTTGCTTATTGCATATTTTTCCTCGGCCTCGAAAATCATTCAAGTGATAAAACCCGAAACATTTGGATAGGCGGCATCAACAACGTAGTAATAACCTATAATGAAGACAATAACAACTGCATTGGGAACCAATTTTTGCAAATTAGTGAGTTGATTAAGACAAACTTTTATAGCTAAAACCCAAAGAATTACAATTGGTATACTTTCCATTATGATAAATCTAATGTTCAAAGCAGAAGTACTCTACTGCTCACATAATCAAATTTAAACAACTTTTTAAGCAGAATATATACCAACTTTTCCAACTATTTCCTCTAATTTTTTAGTAATTCTCATCTTATGACTAACAATTTATGGTAATTTCTTTGCACTGGAATATGAAAAGGTGCTTTGTAAAGAAAAAATGTAGTTGTACTTCATAAAGTGTTGTTTGGCTTAAGAATGAAAGTTCATTTAACAATATAAAACACTCATAATGTTTATTTAAGAGTGTACTAGCGATTCGATGCTTTTTCAAAAACACATTTTACATTTCAAGTGCTTACATGAGAAAATAATTGCTATAAAAGAACTTACACCATAAGCAATAATTAATAAGAAAAAATCTGAAAAAACAGACTTCATAAGCAATGAAAACAGACTTCTTAAGCAACAACTAAAAGGGATGGATGCAGAAGGATGATGTTTCGAACCGTAGCTGAGATAAAAGTTTTATACATTTTAAAATTAGCTGAACAGAATGAAAGAGATTGGCATTCCTGTCAATTATTTCAAGCTTATACAAATACAACTTGCTAAGCAATAATTAATAAGAAAAAACAGAAAAAACTGGTAATATAGATACATATATACAAGTGTAAAAAACAGATCACTAAAGGAAGAAAATATCCTAAGCATGTAGAACACCTTCCCATGCTTTAATAGCTTTTCAATAAATATAACCAACAAACAATTCATGAATCTCACAGCCAATCCAATAAACAATTTTAGACACAGAAAGGGAAAAATGAAAGTAAATTTGATCACATTCAATTCCCACTTACTTATATACATCAAACAAATCAGGTGTCAAAAAAATCAAATAACTATTAAACCTAGACCGTACCACTGCAGCAGAAAACCCAGAAATTAAAAAAAAATGAAGCTCAATTGGGCTCGAAAGTTGTAGGAGAGTCACATGGGTATGACTTTCAGGCTTCCATTGCTTTCAGATTACCAATCAAATATGATTTTTCAACAAGGTAAAGTTGAAATGCCATTCAATTTCAAAAGCTTACCTTCAAGTCGTTGACAGAACCCGAGTCGACCGAAGAATTGGGAGAATCCGTGATGTCAGGGTGCAACTCCAGCTCCTAGGAGCGACGCCCTGTTTGGTGAAGTTGGAACTTGGTTGACATGTGAAGCAACGAGCTGTATAGCGTTTGAGAAGGGGTGCGATATCTTTGGGGAAGCAAGCGTGGAACTTTAATAGGATAGGGCAGGAGGTTAGACGGTATCCAAATCGCAGGGGTTTGGAGAAAAGGCAAAGATGGTAGGCGGAGGAAGGTAGAGGCGTAGAGCGCAGTTACAGAAGGGAATTACGATGGTAGGCGGAAGAGGAGAGCGAGTAAATAACTATCACTGTAGCTCCGCGTTTTCTGAATTCAAAAAACGTCTAAAAGTGAGTTTTCTATTTCACGAGGAAAAAGTGAAACACGTTTGGTTTTTGTACTTCTGGAAAACGGTTTGGTAAACACGTTTCCTAATTTTTCTATCTCCAGTTTTCTAAATTTTTGGAAAAACAGAAAATATTTCTGTTAGTAAACAGGCCCTTAGTATTTAGCATAGGCATGGACTCGGGCCGGGCGGCTAGGGTTTGACTCGGGCCGGGCGTCAGGCGGCCCGAACCGGAACCGGCCCGGTCACTGTTTGAACCGGCCCGGCCCGGCGGCCCGACCCATGGGCGGTTCGGGTTGACCCGGCCCGGTGGCTACCGGTTCCGTGCATTCATTTTGGTGAACCGGCCCTGCCGGTTCGGGCCGGATTTATTGATTTTTTTTTTATTTTTTTTAAGTTTTTGGGTTGGATTGGGTATTTTGGGCTATTTGAGGTGGTTTGGGGTTGAGGGGGAGGGTAGGGGGTTGATTAGGAAAACACAAAAAAAAATTATATAGAACCAAACCGGGCCCGACCTGGCCCGGCCCGGCCCGAACCGGAACCGGGGTTACCTGGGCCGGTTCCGGGCCTCCCCTACCTTGAACCGAGGCCCGGCCGGTTCAAGGCCCGAACCGGGCCCGGCCCAGAACCGGTCCACCCCTACGGGCGGCCCGCCCCGGAACCGACCGGATCGGTCACTGTTTGAACCGGCCCGGCCCGGGAACCGGGCCATAGGGCGGTTCGGGTCGACCCGGCCCGCTAGTCATACGGTTCGGGCTCGGGCCCTAGGAATGGTGAACCGGCCCAGACGATTCGGGCCCGGTCCGGGCCAAATTTATTTATTTTTTTGATTTTTTTTTAAAGTTTTTGGGTTGGGCTGGGTATTTTGGGCCATTTGAGGTGGTTTGGGGGTGAGGGGGGAGGGTTGGGAGTTAATTAGGAGAAGTCGAAAAAAAAAATAGTTTGGACCGAGGCCTGGCCCGGCCCGAACCGGACCCGGGGGTTACCTGGGCCGGTTCCGGGCCTCCCATATCCTGAACCGTGAACCGGCCGGGCCCAGGCCCGAACCGGGCCCAGGCCCGAACCGGGCCCGAACCGGAACTGGTCCATGCATAGTTTAGCAAACAGTCGATCAATTTATTTTCCATTTCCCCTACTCTACCCACACCTGCTACGTCATTCATATTCTACGTACAGAAATAATTAAATTATTTCTTCAATTCCATTCTAGATTTTAAGGGTGCAGCCGTGCAAGGACTTAACTTTATTTTGCCCGCAATTGTTGCATTTACTATGATTATATAATGTTGCAAAGAATTACATTATTACTTGGCAGTCTTGGCTATTTTTTATCACATAAAAATGGTTTAACTAGTTGACTAATTTTTTTAACGTCCGGTTGTACGCATAAAATTAACTAAATGTGTGATACGTATTAAAAAATTCGTAGTAAGTAAAATAAGTAATAATATGATGTCCTTAAAAGTCATTTAATAAGTTATCAGTTGATTATAAATTGCCATTTAACCAAACATTACTTTACAAAATGCTAATACTATATAAAAACAGCCAACTGAATCTGCTATCAGCAATCAGTTAACACAACTAGCCAACAATTAATTGCCAGTTGCCAAACACGCCCGAAATATTGAATGAACTAAATACTCTAAATTTCAAAATTTTGGTTATGATCCTTATTAAATCTGATGAAAATGATATCCAAAAAATCTAGATTGAAATATTAGTGTTAATTTTATACATTTAAGCCTAAAGTTATCTCATGTAAACCAATGAATTCAACGAGTTCAGGAAAATAAATTAGTATATGGAATTTTTTATTTGACTAATAAGACTAAAATCAAATTAAAGTAACTGATCAGTTTGTAGTACGTTGTGGTGTGGTAACAAAGTCTTAGAAAAGGTCAATTTAGATGTGGACCATTTCATCTCCATTTTTCCTTCTTATACAGTTACACATAGATGTGTTTGTGTGGTTTCTCTCTATCCTACTTAGTAGCCAAGCCCTCCCTCAATTTTCTTTCTTTCTCTCACCCATTAGACATTTCCAGTACTTAGGATGCGTTTCCTTATAAAATGGAGAGGGTTTGTGCATATGTAAACGCAAGTGGAAGGACCAACATCTTATTTTATAGCTATCAGAAGTTGATAGCTATAAAATAGTTTCATACTATCATCCACCTCTTTTTCTTTACTCATTTGAGAGGAGATTTTTTACAAAAGGTGCATTTGATGATGTGAAACTCCAATTCGGACATTTTGGAATCCAGTTGGTTTTGATTCCCAAAATGAATGAAGCAGTTATAATTTGTTATCACATGGTTATGTCAGTTGTTCCGGTTCTGAATTGGATTTTTGAAATGAATTAAAGGGAGGATGATTATAGATTGTAATCGACCGAGCTGGTTATAATATCAGGTATATCCAGGGCATAGTTCTGTTCTGATCACAAGAACATATCTCAAATGCTGTATTGGTGAAAAAACCGACCTGTTATGGTAGTCACTACTCTTCCCATACGGTAAATAATTTATGATGAAAATGAAAATAGTTGTAGATTATAATTTATGACATACAAAGCATGCATCATTACTTATTTTTGTGGCGTTAGAAATTATAATCAATGTTATTCAAATGTTGTATTTGTAAGTTTCAACTTTCAACAACTATAAGTCTATAAAATATTCTGCAGTAGTAGTATTGCCCCACTTCATTCGTGAGGGCATAAACACAAGTACCGAGTACACAACAAACAATATATCATCATTTTAACATGTGACATTACTATGGTTCCACAATGATCTTCCCCGTAGCATGTCCCTCGATGCTCCTACACCAAGCATCCTCCGCCTTGCTCAAGGGGTACTTCGAGTCTATCACACTCTTAAGCTTCCCCTCCTTCACCAGGCCAACAAGGTATGCCAAGTTCTCAGCTTTCGCAGACACCATCATGGGCACCAACTGCTTCTTTGAGAAAGTGATCTTCTTGATGGCAAAGGTCAAGAGTGCCTTTGGGCTCGGAGTGAAGTCCACAACCTTTCCATTCTCACTCAAATTCCGCTCAAAAGTACACCATGGAATCCCTGTAGTGCAATGAATGACCGCATCATACTTCTTTCCCGAAGGGCTACTAAGGGCTGCTCCCTCCGGGGTCATGTAGTCAAGGACCTCGTCTGCCCCTAAACTCTTCACAAAATCAATGTTGCGGGCCCCACATGTGGCTGTGACGTGCGCGTTTCCCAGTTTTGCCAGCTGGACGGCGTAGTGGCCCACACCACCGGAAGCAGCTGTCACGAGAATGTTCTTCTGAGGGCCGCTGCCATCGAGTTCGACCCCAGCAATTCTGGTCAACGCCTCGTGAGCTGTAAGACCTGCAATGGGAAGGGCAGCGGCTTCCTCAGCTGAAACTTCGGGCAGCCTTATTGTTATCAAGCCCTCCTTGGCCACGGCATACTCTGCCAATCCACCTCCATCCTGTTACCAAATTAATGTGCAGACCAAAGATCTTGCAATTAAATGTCAGTTCTTTATTTTAATGGCATTATATAAGGAGTAAAAGATTCTCCTAGGTTAAAAAAAGAATTGAACTTTTGAAACCACATAGGGTGATATATCATATTATCTCACCCAACTTTTACTTAGTTCAATTTTCCAGCACCGATCTGTAATACTAGATCTGTAATACTAGCTACGTTCTTTTTTTATTGCAGCAGTTTGACTTTCACGGTTGCCAGCACACAACTTGAGTGTAATTATATTTAATTATGTATTACTACGTAGTACGGAGTATTTATTATAAAAAGTTAATATTTTGAAAATTCACCTTAATAGGAATTTAATAATATTTATACATAATAATTTGATTATATATATTAGTAGAAAATCATGATGAAAGTAAGGTGTATGAATAGTGTAAAAACACAATGTTGCAACTATTAATGAACGGAGGAAGTATTATAAGTATTTTTATCATCAAACGTTCAAAAGTAAATCAAAACAGACAATCGCTGAAAGGGATGAATTTTCTAGGGGTGAAACTGTCCAAGAAATATAAATTATATTTTATTTGAAAAGGGATGACATTTTTCCAAAGAATAATTTGTACTATCGTATTTTGCAAAATGCAATTTATTTTGTTTACCATAATTTCCCTTCTTATACCATTCAATTTTTCACTTTCTCTAAAAAGAAACATATACGAGTAATTGAGTATGACTTTTGTGGAGGGCATTGACAAAGTATTGCAGTATATTTTCCCAAATTTACTCTTTTTATAGTCTTCGGTTGACAAAGTATTTTTATGACTTTAAAGAGGGCATTTTGGATATAAAGTACAATGGAAAAAAGTATTGATTCATTAACCACTCCGTTTAAATTTTTTTAAGCTATGCTACTTCCTTAATCAAAACCTGTACACAAGAACAGAGGAAGTATAAAAAAAGCAAAATAATTAGTGATATACTCACACTGATGCTGACAGTAGCCACAACTTTGTCACCAACTTTGAACCTTTGAACACCTGAACCAACCTCTACTACCTCTCCTGATATATCACTAACTGATTCATCCCAAAGAGATCAGATAAGAAAAGGGAGATTGAATAGATATGTACATACATAGTGTACCATATAAGGTCAATATAAAAAAAACCACTGATCTTATTAAAAAAAAGACATGACTAAAATAAATATGTGATATGGCGATAAGGTAAAAAGAACTTACCAGGAATGTGAGGAAATTTGCGAGGAAATAACGGACGCAGTGTACCAGATTGAACTTTCCAATCAACCGGATTTATACTTACGGCTTCCATCTTAATCAAAATTTCACCATTCTTAGGAGTAGGTACAGGAACTTCAACATGCTGCAAAAACAAAAATCAGTTCATTGCTCTTGTAAGATACCCTTGTTTTTTTGTTCAGCATAACTCCAACATCGTTACCCTTTTTTTGGCATTTTAGTTTTTAAATAGTAGTCTCCGAGTTTATTTTCAGTCATCTTCCATCATAAGGACATCCAGTGTTAAATTCTCCAACTGTTTTTTCTGCTTTGATTTATCCTATTATTAACTATAAATTATGTAGTTCAACCCAAAATAGTTGGGACTAGGGTGACAGCGTATTGCTGGTTTAAACCAAACAAACATCATTCCATTCACTACTTCGCTCTAAGCCAACTCACACCGACCAAATACAAATAAACACTACTGTCTAGTGTCCACTGTATAAGTTGAGTAGAGAACTTTTAATATAGTGTCAACTGTAAAAACCAATAAACCTCTTATGAACAATTAAGCTATTTAGATGAAACAAATTCACATAAATTATTGGACTATTACTCCAAGTCTCTAATGAACCAGACCTTTAGATGAAACTTAAGTCTTATCAAGGTCGCTCCAACTAAACTAAAACGGTAACACAAAAATACTCTATCGTCCGTCCATTACTTCCCCTCTCTGGAACCAAATTACCAAACATACACTTGGAAGAACTCACAATAGTAAAATTCATCCGATGAGAGCATAAAAAGAGATATAAATATGATATACTAATCAAAGAAGTTCAATTGTTATAAGAAAGAGAGAAAATTCCGCAAAAAGGAATAAAAGCAAGACATAATTCCCCAATAGGGGTGTGATTGTTTTCTTCTAGACTCATTCACTCTTCTAGTCTTTTTCTCCTAATCATGTTTGAGAACTTTCTCCATGTTCAACTCTCCTACAGAGTATTTTGAATAATTCCTTGAATAACAGGAACACAAATCCCAGTACTAAGAAATTAGCAGCTCTGTAAATAAATAAAGCTTCCAAAGCTAAGGAAGAAATACAGAAGGAATTCGGGCGATAAAGGGCAGTTTTCCTCTTTCAATTAAACATTTCATATTTGTAAAAAAAAGGGCAGAGAAAGGACACAGCCAAAATTACTATAAAGGGGATAAATAAATCAAGAAATAAAAAGGAAAAACCCTCAAAGCTGCGGCTCCTCCGCCGTATTGACCATACTGCACAGCATGCATAAGCTTCCCGGCGGCAGCCATCGCTTTTACCAAGTTGTGAACTTGTAAATGGTTGTATCAATCTAGACTAGAGTCACGGAAATGAGCAATAGATTAATTTATTACTACGTATTATTATTTGTAAATGCAATTGATTCTATTATTGAAGAAGTACCGGTGTCTGGGTGAAGTTTTAAGACTTTCAACCGTCCGCATGCCGGCTGACAGCCGTGACAGGCGGCTATACAAAGAGGCCGTTTGTCACTACTCACTAGTTTTGGACAGAACTTTTAATATTGTGGGTTGAATTATGTAATACGGACTAATATTATGTGTTGAATTCTGGTTTTATTAGCTGAACTTATTGTAAAAAGATTATTTTAACTACTACCTCTGTTCATTTAAGTTTAAGACAAAAGAAAGTGACACGATTATTTATAAAAGTGGATTTATGTAGTTGATATTGAATTGATAAAGTAAGAATAAAGTAAGAATGCCTTAGAACCACACAAATTTTACCAAATAAGGTATCAAACAGTCTTAGTGGGACGGACCAAAAAGGTAAAATGAGACAATCATAGTGGGACAGAGGGAGTATTTTTCAATCCTTTTTTAATTTATTAATAAAAAACATTTTCAATATAATTTTTTTCATAAATCTGTAGCATCAACCAGTACAGCCACTTCAGCCATAACTTCATAAATTTTTACAAATTAGCCGATTCAGTCTGTTTCAATGTTATCAAACGAGCTCAAAAAATAAAGGGAAAAGGGTCCGATAGGCTCTTGTACTTACATGAAAAGGTGGAATAATCCCTTATACAGGAGGCTCTGTCCGGCCGTCGCCATTTGGGGTGATTCCTGCAAGAAAGATTTAGCAGTTAAAGAGTGCAATTATCTTCAAGAATTCATTTGAATGTCTTCCCGATTGAAGTTTTAGCTCAGATTTGGTATGAGTAAACTATATAAGGGGTTATTTAACCTTTTTTTTATGTAAGTACAATCATTTTCCCAAAAATAAATGCGCAAGTGTGTAATGTCCTATGGAGGATTTTTTTTTTTGAAACGATGTGTGACGTTCTATCTAAATTCTTATTTTTATTTGTAAATATAAATAACTTTTCTTACTAATATTTACAAATTGAAAAGTCACTTATTCCAATGTAAAATACCTGCCGGAGCAAGTAAATTTGGAGTTGTTCAATTAAGTCAACCCTGATAACTAGTAGGTCAATAGCGTTGACCTGTGATTTCAATTTGAGGATGAATTGAGACATTAATGCAATAAATGTCCTCATCTCCCTTACAAATTGGGAAAAGGTGCAAATAAGCCCATGTACTAACCAAAAAAGGTCAAATAAGCCCTTATTTAGGAGGCTTTGTCCGGCCGTCGCCATTTGGAGTGGTTCCCGGTGGAATTTTTTGATGAAATTTTTTGAGCATCTTATTTATTAAGTCTAGTTTCCTCATACCAAATTTCAGCTAAAACTTCAATCGGGAAGGCATTCAAATGAATTCTTGAAGATAACTGCGCTTCTAACTACGCAGTTATTTTCAAGAATTCATTTGAATGCCTTCCCGATTGAAGTTTTAGCTGAAATTTGGTATGAGCAAACTAGACTTGATGAATAAGATGCTCAAAAAATTTCATCAAAAAAATCCACCGGGAACCACCCCAAATGACGACGGCCGGACAGAACTTCCTAAATAAGGGCTTATTTGACCTTTTTTGGTTAGTACATGGGCTTATTTGCACCTTTTCCCCTTACAAATTTTTAATTCAAATTCATTCTAATCTATGACATTTTCCTCCCATTCTACTGATTGATTACTGACCTTGAGTGACTACCTCACTTATCATTTTTACACTTTTTTACTTTCTTTTTTATTTTAAATTGAAAAAGGTATTTAAAATTCCAGTATAATTATTTATTATGGTAAAAAATCATATTTAAATTGTGTCTATTTATGGGGGGAAAAGTGGTCAAATTCGAAGGGACTAAACATATCCAATATGGCAATGCTGATGTCTATTTGTAGAGAAAAAAATCAAATTTTTTTGGAATAATTTTTTTGACAATAAATTAAATTTATTATCTAAAAAATTGAATAAAGTAGCTAGTTGGGGCCTGGGGGTGCTTGCTGGCTGTTGATCAAATATGGGCTCGGCCCTTTCTTGTATTTATTGTATATTTGCTATACGGGCTAAGTGCTCATTTTGTTGTACATTACTTGTATAAATACCTGGTTATACTCAATAATAAGCCAAGGGAAAATTTTGCCAAAACTATTCCTTCGTATACTGCTTCGCGTTTGACATGGTATCAGAGCCAGGTTGTTGACGATTTGATTATAGCAGGCAATGACTCTGTTGCTATCTCTCGATTCAAATCATATCTGCATACCTGTTTTCATATGAAAGATCTTGGTACTCTCAAATATTTTCTTGGGGTTGAGGTGGCTCGTAGTAACGATGGGATATTTTTATGCCAGCGCAAATATACTCTTGATATTATTTCTGAAGCTGGACTTTTTGGGTCCAAACCCGCGGACTTTCCTATGGAACAGAATCATAACTTGGCTCTGTCCCAGAGTGATTTATTATCCGATCCGGAGCCTTACAGGCGTCTAGTCGGTCGCTTGATTTACCTCTCTTTTACTCGCCTAGATTTGGCGTATGCTGTTCACATTTTATCTCAGTTTATGCAGGCTCCCTACCAAGATCATTGGTTAGCTGCGTTGCGGGTTGTTAGATACCTCAAGGGTACGGCGGGGCAAGGCATTCTCCTTCAGTCTACGTGTAATCTTATGCTTACCGGATGGTGTGATTCCGATTGGGCCAGTTGTCCTCTTACACGACGCTCTCTTACCGGTTGGATTCTTTTTCTTGGTAATTCTCCCATCTCATGGAAAACCAAGAAACAACATACCGTATCTCGTTCTTCCACCGAGGCTGAGTACCGTTTTATGGCCGCCACCACGGCAGAGTTACACTGGGCTAAAGCTCTACTTCTTAGTCTTTGCATTCGTCATTCCAATTTCATGTCCTTGTTCTGCGATAGTCAATCGGTTCTCCATATCGCTCATAACCCTGTCTTCCACGAACGCACGAAGCATATTGAAGTTGATTGTCACTACGTTCGGGATGCTATTCAAGCAGGTTTGCTAGTTGCGCGCCATGTCACTACTACCGAGCTGTTAGCAGATATTTTCACTAAGGCTTTGGGCAAATGACATTTTCTTTACCTTCTTCGCAAGTTGGGCATTTTCGAACTGCATGCTCCAACTTGAGGGGCGGTGTTGATCAAATATGGGCTCGGCCCTTGTATTTATTGTATATTTGCTATACGGGTTAAGGGCTCATTTTGTTGTACATTACTTGTATAAATACCTGGTTATACTCAATAATAAGCCAAGGGAAAATTTTGCCAAAACTATTCCTTCGTATACAGGTATACTGCTTCGCGTTTGACACTGGCTGCAAAATTGGAAAGACGTCCTCTAACTTTGGGCAACAATTTTGTTTCAAAAACAATGTCATTTGAAATTCATTAATGGCCAGGTAAAAAAGTTGGCAAATCCAATTTTCAATCGATCAAGTTATTGATCACTTTGTGATCTTCCATAGAGGGGTCTCAACTCCCGAGTCCGAAGGCTAAATGTCTCGAATCATCAAACACTATGTAGTTTAGTTATGTTAGAATGCGCTAACATAATGCATGTAGTCAGTCGCAAATTATGTATATTGTGAGCACACTGTACCGAAAACGCCATCGTTTTTCTAATTAGACATCGCAAATCACCTTGCGTCACTTAAATAGAGAGCATGTCGTTTCAGTCTACCGGATTCCAAAGAGAGTTGGCTCCAATCTTCGACCTTGTTCTCCAATAAAAAATGTAATTTAGTGAGACTGATTGTAAAAAAAATGTATAAAATAGTCATTTGAAATATCATATAATATTTTATCATGTCATATCATGTTATGTCATATCATTTCGTATCATATCATATCATATCATATCATATCATTATGTTTTTTTGTGTAGGTAATGTGTTGGTGTATTATATTGCATTTTATTCAAATTAAAAATTCCCAAGATATTACTAAAAGATATTGAGTTTCTCGAAATATGACTAGCTATGTTTTTTTCCCGGAATATGACTAAAAATCGAAAAAAAGAAAATTTCGTTATATTATAATGTCGAAGGTCGAAAACGCCCTTATTTAAAAAAGATGCATTTTGCACTAATTTCATCCGTGTAAAAATATTGCACTTTATGAACGTGTTATAGCACAACATTTAATGCACTTTTTGATGGCATTAATTGCACGACATATAATGAACTTCATGCACTTAAGTTATGACACTTCAATTTGTCCTTTTTTTAGTTTTGATAATTTTAGTTTTTACGTTTGATTGAATATAATGCACTTCATGAGAGAATTATGACACGGCATTACAAAAATGTTAGCATTTTATATACGGAGTATATTTTTTCTTTTTAGATTTGATTATTGTATGCAACGTGAAGTGTCACACTGTCACCCGTAGTGGGTTTTGATAGCCGTTATATTTAATTGTGTTTAACATAAGTATTTATAAGTTTTTGTTGAAGAAAAGAAGAGAAATCGGGCAAATAGCTCTAGAATGAGAGCTAGAGCATAAAAGATTGCGATGAACGACTTTTTGGACCAAGAGAATGACGTTCTGCCTATAATTTGAGTATAACTAATTCTATAGAACTCGAAATCACTCGATTCGAGTTTCATGTGAATGTTAACTCAATAAGGTACAAATGTTATGAAGACGTCATGGCCAAAATATGAAAGGAGAAAGACTCAATCAACCAACAAAGTCAGATGTTGCTGGAGGGATTTCGGGATGCATACCTCTCAGTGTTTTACCCATATCTTTTGATTGGCTGAATAAAATCACGTCATTCAAATTTTGGTGGATAGAAGACTTCATTATCTACAACTTTGGTGAAGGAATCATGTCCAAATTCGTAGCGGAACATCCCCAAAATCCCAGGACAAAACCGGCACCAGAATTTCACCAAACCAGCGCCGGTTGCATTTAATCTGCCATTTTCCTGGTCAGCCGAAGTATAACCGGCGCCGGTTTTACCCTATAACCGGCACCGATTATGGTGTTTTTCAGTATTATTCCAGCCCCGAAGTAAAACCGGCGCCGGTTAAACCCGATTCTGCACAAAACATGAAGACGTGCAACAATATTTTGATGGGAAAAACTCACCTTCCTCATGATCTGATCAAATATATCTTCCATACCTGATTGTTGGGCTCGAATAGACTAAAAGATGTCAATCTTTAGCCTATATAAAGCCCCCAATTCATCAAACAAGATCAACATTCCATTCCATAGATTAATTCTTAGCTTTTATATTTTTGTTCTTGGTATTTTCGTCAAGTTCTTGAGGAGGAAACTTCAACCTCCGAAATCATTGGTGTTTAGGTATTATTTCCTTTGTAATTTCATGTTCCATTACATTTCAATATTGTATTGTGATTAATATGAGCATTAGAGGCTAATTTCTAAGCTAAGGCTAGGGATGAACCTCTACGCACACTAGGTGTTTGATAAAAGTTCTAAACCAATAAATTGTGATTTATCCTTTATATTTTGATTGTTTATGACTATGGTGTACAACATAGAAGTATGTTAAATTTAGCTTATGCTTGCAATTAATGTTGAAGTCTAAACTATGAACATTAAAGAATAAACATATATAGTACCGAGAATAGAAATATATCCGGTCTTATATGATACAGGTGTGATGTCGTGGTATTCAACGGGGTTTTCGGTAAATGAATGTAAGCCGTAACGGGACTTACACGTAACAAAAACCACGCTCTCGCTGCCTTAACCGGAGTCGAGAATATATTAGCGATATCATATTCATGATTATTGCGAAAGAACTATTATTAAATAACTATTAAAGCATTTAGGTGAATCCCGATTGCCTTAGTGATTCTCATTCTTGTTTAAATCAACCTCAAAGAACAAAGTTCCTGAAAAACTATACCATTTATATTCTTTTGCATTCAATACTCGACTTTATAATATCAACCATTTCCCTGTGGATCGACCCGGTATTTACCAGTATTTTATTACTACATCGGTACTAGATCCTGAAAAACTATACCATTTTGGCACTGTTGCCAGGGAAATGGTCTTGTTTTATAAAGTTCACAAACCTCATTTTTTTCTCACTTTTTCATGTAGTAGTGTTAGTGTATTTTTTTTTTTTTAAATGTGTGGTGTTACTCATAAAAGTTCAAGGATCTAAGTAAAACTTTGGTCCCGAAGTTGAAAGAGTGTGCAAACACAAACAAAAAAAAAAGGAAAAAAATCCTTCACTAAATGAGATCAAGATGCCCGTTGTTGCCTATAATCCACATTTTCAAGCTAGAGACATAAAGTTCCCTAGAGTGAAGGAAATATCTATCGGTGATGTGCTTGATAGAAGATTCTTAGAGTTTGAACGAACACTGAAAGAAAGCCTACAAACCGCCTTAGGAAACATTCTTCCTACACGAGAATATGTTATTCAACCCGAGGAGATCAACTACATGAACTCCTATGACGAGTGGGGGAATCATGGAGGTAATAACTACTACAACTCTTCTAATCAACAAAAGGGGAACCAACACAACAATTGGAAACCGCAATGGAGTTCTTCAAACTTTCAGTCCACCATAGAAGAGATGATGACGTTTCTTACCACAAGTATTCAAGCTGAAAATGAAAAACATTATAGTAGAATGGAGGCATCCGTTGAGAATCTCCATTCTCAATTTACCAAACTTGACATCCGAAATGAAAATCAAAACACAATTCTTAATCAAAGGATGGACAACCTCGAGCGAGATACCAAAAGCTCCTTCCACACTCTACAATTGCAGATTGACCAACTTGCTCAACAAGTTACTATAGCAGGAAGTACCATGGTCATCACAACGGGAAGCAAAAGAGGAAAGGAGGATCCCAAAGTTCCGGAGAGCAAGAAGACCTCAGGCATACTTGATGTACACGACGGGACTAAAAAGCTATTTGTGGGAGATAAAAATGACATATTTCATGTGTGGAGAGTACAACCCACTCTAGAGAAATTCTTGAAGTCGGAAGCTAATGTTTTCACGCCTCCAAATGGTAGAGGAGACCTCTTTTCCATTCAAGAAGGATACACCAACAAGAAAGGAGGACATAATCGGGACACACCAAAAAGGTATATTTTTTACCCGGGTGATACTCTTCTCAAAATTGAAAATAATAGCTCCTCATCCTCTCCTCCCCCGCAAGATTTTAAAAGAGAGGTCCTACTAGCTAAACACCTGCGGGAATTCAGCTGCACAAAAGAGGTACGTTCGTCCAGCCTATGACGTTCGGCGAGGCAGCAATGGGAGGCGGGTGTGTGTGATGAGTACTGGAAAGCTAGAGGCTAGGGTTGGAGAAAAAGAGTAGGAGGTTAGGGTTTTATAGGCTTAACATAAAGGGTATATTAGTCCAAAAAAATTAATTATATTATTACTAATTATGAAATTAATTAAATATTATAGATTTAAATATTATTTTGGGAAAAAACTAGTTAGGTCATAGATTGGAAAAGAGGGGGAGTTTTAGTCATACATGGGATACTTATTTCTTTATTCAAATTATTATAGAGCTCATGATTATCTTGGTTTTGATGTGGTTTCTTGTTTGCATTACTTGAGTAAATAATTTTGTGAAGCTTAAGCATGATACGAGGAATGCACTTTTTCTTGATGCACACAACATAATAATATAGACCTTTTTAACTAAAATCCAAAATAAAACAGTGTTGGAAAAGAAAACATTTAGTTGAGGATAAATTTTTAGAATTGAACATTAGGTAACCTAATTTGTGGAGTGTAAAATGATTCAATAGTTTTGCCAAATTTCAACATAACAAACACTACCCAATTATTGTCCTCCTAACATTGTCCTAAAAGAAAGTGGAGTGGTTATTAAAAAAATGAACAATGAACTATTGAATTGATGAAATGTAAATAAACTAATAAAGTAGAATGAACAACAATCATCTAAATATTACGGAATATGTATGATATAAGAGATTAGTGGGACAAACGAAAAAAGTAAAATGAGACAAAGATAGAACTGCTAAATATTGAGCTACATTACTATGGTTCCACAATGATCTTCCCCACAGCATGCCCTTCCATGCTCTTAGACCAAGCATCCCTCGCATTGCTGAGGGTGTACTTCGAGTCTATCACACTCTTAAGCTTCCCCTCCTTCACCAGCCTTACAAGGTATTCCAAGTTCTCGGCTTTTGCGGAAAGCATAAATGGAACCAACCGCTTCTTTGAGAAAGTGATCTTCTGGACGGCAAAGGTCAATAATCCTCTTGGGGTCGGAGCTAGATCAATCACCACCCCGTCCTTGCTCAAAACTCGCTCAAAAGTACACCATGAAATCCCCGCCGTGCCGTTAACCACCGCATCGTACTTATTTCCCGACGGGCCACGGAGGGCTGCCCCCTCCGGGGTCCTATAGTCAAGGACCTCGTCCGCCCCTAAACTCCTAACGAAGTCGATGTTGCGGGCCCCACACGTGGCAGTGACGTGTGTGTTCCCCAGCTTTGCCAGCTGGACGGCGTAGTGGCCCACCCCACCGGAGGCAGCTGTCACGAGAATGCTCTTCCGGGGACCGCTCCCGTCGAGTTTGACCCCGGCGTGCTTGGTCAACGCATGGTGTGCTGTCAGACCGGCAATGGGAAGGGCAGCGGCTTCCTGGGCAGAAACTCCGGGCAGTCTTATTGCTGTCAAGCTCTCCTTGGCCACCGCATACTCTGCCATTCCACCTCCATCCTGTTAAGTAGTTAACGAGTTAATGTGCATATATATATATATATATATATATATATATATATATATATATATATATATATATATATATATATATATATATATAGAAAAGATCCTGTCCAGACGTCCGGACAGGAGCCGCCGTCCGGCCGGCGGCGTTTGGCCGCCTTCCCGGTGGATTTTTTTGATGAAATTTTTATGGCATGTTCTCCATCAAGTCTAGTTTATCCACAAAAAAATTCAGCCAAAAACTCAATCGGGAAGGTCGTCAAATGATTTTTGCAAGTTAACTGGTCCGGAATATGTATTTTCCGGACCAGTTAACTTGCAAAAATCATTTGACGACCTTCCCGATTGAGTTTTTAGCTGAATTTTTTTGTGGATAAACTAGACTTGATGGAGAACATGCCATAAAAATTTCATCAAAAAATTCCACCGGGAAGGCGGCCAAACGCCGCCGGCCGGACGGCGGCTCCTGTCCGGACGTCTGGACAGGAGCATTCCTCTATATATATATATATATATATATATATATATATAGGGAGCAGTTCCAATAAGAACCATGTTTAACGTGAGAACGTGAGAACCATGCACTTTTAACACATCTCGGTGCACTATGAGGCTCACCTATTGCACTTTTTAAACTTGGGTCAAAACGTGCCAACTTTATATAAGTGTGGAGACAAATTTGTAATTATTTCGTTAACACGAAAATGTGCAAGAAATAATCGATATAGTGCATCACAATTGCTTAAAAGTGGAGTTCTCACGTTCTCACGTTAAGCAAGGTTCTCATTTGATCCAAAATCTATATATATATATATATATATATATATATATATATATATATATATATCAAATACGTAGCGGTGAAATGATCTCATTTCTTTTGGACTCAAAGATTAAGAAAGTGGTGAAATGATATGAAAAGATAAAAGTTGTGGTTGAGATTTGAGGAGCAAAAGGTGAAATGATGTGAACCATATATTTCTTTCCAAAAAGGGAAATGAGATTATCAATTTGGGACGACCCAGAAAGGAAATATGGAATCATCAAATTGGGACGGAGGGAGTACTACGTAATTAAATGTTACTCTCTCCGTCCCACTAACAATGGGACAAGAGAGAGTGACACACAAATCTTTAAAAAGTGATTTATGTGGTTGATATTGAATGATAAAGTAAGAATAAAGTAAGAATGATTTAGAGCCACACAAATTTTACCAAATAAAGTATGAACAATCTTAGTGGGACGGGCCGAAATGGTAAAATGGGATAATCTTAGCGCGACAGAGGTAGTACTATTCTTTATTTTAGAGGCATTATATCAGGAGTAGATAATTGTGAGATGGTATTAAAAAATATTACTACAATGAAATGCAATTACACAAATTACACAAATATGACTAATAGCATTGAACATAAGTTACTTGATTAAAGTTAAAGTATAGATGTTTTTACTTGGACTGTTTTCAATCCCAGACCAAACTAGACTTAAACAGACTAAACCCGATCACACCAGACTTAAATAGACCAGATTTGACTTCCGTAGTAATAAAATACACATAGACTAGACGTTTACTAGACCAGACCTGACCAGATTAATTCAGATCAGACCAGACCGGACTTAAACAGACCAGACCATCAAATTACAATCCAAGTAAAAACATCCTTAAGGTTATAGTCACAACACTCAGAAGGTCGTATTCTTGTCAATACGGAGTATCTTTTATTTTAGGGAGAACTATCAAATAAGCCCTCGAACTTACATAAAAAATGCAAATCACCCCTTATATAGGAGGCTTTGTCCGGCCGTCGCCATTTGGGGCGGTTCGCGGTGAAAGTTTTTGATGAATTTTTTTTAGCATCCTATTCATTAAGTCTAGTTTACTCATACCAAATTTCAGCTAAAAATTCAACCGTCAAATTATTTTCTGAAGGAAAAATTCACATTAATAATCCCAAGTATTGTTATTCTTCTATTATTAATCCCAAATTTGAGTTATTCTAAAATAATCCCAAAATTATATGGCATCTTCTCCCGTTAGTCCAGGTGACCTAGAACTTACTCAATAGGTTAAAACAATAAAATAGAAAAGGAAAAAAGCTGAATAGATATTTTCTTTTGACCGGTTCCTTCACACTTCTTCATCTTCACAAACAGTTTCTGAGCGTTTTTCCTCTGATTTCTTTTCATTATTTTCTGAATCTACTAGATATGGCTGTCACCGAAGAGAAAGCGTGGCAAAAGATGGACCACTAATTCATTTGTCTTCTCCGACCATCATCCGGCCGGCAAAAAACGCACGGCGCCGGTCATCCTCCCTATTTTCTTTACTTTGCTTCTGTGATATACGGAGTATATCTTTATCACTTTGCCTCCCTTAGTTCATCCTCTCTTTCTACAATTCTTCTTTTTGGTATTCTTTTTCTTTTCTCCTCTAGTTGCAATTGACGCCTGACGGGTTTGGACTCTAGAGATGAACTAATTCACAAAGCTTAAACGAACAAATGAGGATAAAATTAGTTGCAGATTTTTTTCGATTTATATTGATCGATTTTCTGTTTTCTGTGTCGTTCTGAAGCTCTCTCTCAGCAAGTTGTAGTATAGTCATTGGACGTTTTTTATGATTCTACTCTCGTCATTCTGTTTTTGTGGTCAGAAGGGGTGTTGAACTTGGAGATGAAGTAGCAGACCTTCATCTAACAAACACCTTCTATGGATGAACAAGGATGGGGTCCCATTTGCTTCTAAAGATGAATAGGGAGGGGCCAGAAATAAACCGACGTGGAAGATGGAAAGAAACGAAAGAAAGAGAAATAAGGAAAGAAAATGAAAAGGAAAATAATTATAAAATTGAAATCCAATCGAAATAGGACACATGTTCAGGTAACCTGCTAAATAGGTTTATGCAGGTCATCGGTTTGTTTTGAGAAGATACCTCTTATAGTTTAGATTATATTTGAATAACTAATATTTGGGATTAATAATGGAAGACTGTGAATAGTTGGGATTATTTATGTGAATTTTCCCTTTTCTGAAATATACTGTTTAACTCCACTGTTTAACTTGGTAGTTCTCCCTGTATTTTACTTACATAAATGCAATTATTACAAAGAGAGATTGTTTTAAAAAAAATTACTAATCATTTTTTAATTTTGTAAGAACAAACATGTATGGGTAATTGAGACTGACCTTAATGGAGGGCATTTACAAACTTGGCGGTAAATTTTCCCAAATTTACTCTTTTTATTCTATTCTATTCGATTAATTTTCTTAAACTATGCGACTTGCTTATTCAGTTATTCTACACCCATAAATAAGAACATAGGTAGGAATTAATAAAAGCAAAGCAATGAGTGATAGATATACTCACACTCATGCTGAGAGTAGCCACAACTTTGTCGCCAACTTTGAACCTTTGAACACCTGAACCAATCTCTAGTACTTCTCCTGCTATGTCACTAACTGATCCTCGCCAAAAGAAAACATATCATAACAATGAGATTGACAGATATGTACATAACTACATACAGAGTATTATAACATATAACCTGAAATAATAAAGTCAAGCAGAATCTAATTTTGCACTCTACTTTATGCAATGTATGAGACTTTGCATCTCATTTTTATAATCCTTTAATGCATGCACTGTCAATCTAAAAATTGAAGAAATGAGGGTGCAAATTCAAATAAATTTACACAAAACAGGGTGTACACATTAATGATTATAAAAATATGGTGTTAAGTACATAAGTTTAATATCATGAAACAACTAGGGTGAAAAATTAAATTTTACCTAAAATCAATTCTAAATCACTGATCTTATATAAGAAAAGACATAATTAAAATATAACTTGTGAAATGGCCATAACTTGTTGAGGGGCAAAGGTTGGTCCATCCTCAGGTATAAATTTGATTATTAATGTATAAAATTATGTGTGATAATTTATCCCAATTTTTTTTATACCGGCTTTTTTACCGGCCCAATCCATTTTATATCTATATTACAGGAGTGTTTGCAACAACTTCTGCTAAAAAAGCACTTTTTGAAAAAAGTGATTAAATAAAAGTTGATAAGGTTTGAGAAAAAAGTGATTTTGAAAAGTAAAAGTTGGTAGTGTTTGCTAAAATAAGTGCTTTTTGTGTAATAGAAAAGGGAAAAACATTTTTCACACGAAAGCCGAGAAAAGTAAAAATTGGCCGTGTTTGGTAAATAAGTGTTTTTTAAGCCAAAAGCCGAGAAGTGCTAGTTTTAACCAGTTGCAAACACTCCCTACGTCCCATGCAAGTGTTTATTTGTGCAATAGGTTGCTCCTGGACTCCTGGTGATAACATTATACTCGTATATATAAAGAGAGTATGGTGGATAACCAAATAAAAATGTATTTGGCCAAAAAGAAGTGAAAAAATGTTGTCTTAATTAATGAAGCATTCTATAATCCCAATATCCCATACTTAATAATAATTAAAAATTATGTAAATATGTAATTAATAGTTTCAAGCTATGAATAATAAATTAAAAATGAAATAAATATTAATAAAATAATTTAAAAATTAGAAACATAAACAATTAGAATCCATTCAGACAAATAGAAAATAAAGATAGTCTCTCTCTGAATTATAAAGTTTGTTACACTTTCCGTTTTAGAAAATATTTAAAATTTTGCTACAATATCCTTTTTTGATAAGTTTTTCATTTAGAAATACTCAATTACTCTCATTGTTTACTTTTTATCTTTGCTTCTCTTTCATACATTTTCATCTTCTCTTCAACTACTTTTTTACACTATTCATCACCCTACTATTTTATCCTTAAATAATGTGTCAAATTCTAATGTAGCAATTTTTAAAATACAAGGGAGTAAGATGATAGTAATACGTAGTAATTATTAGATTCGTTGGACAAGGAAAACCAAGGACGATATAAGAATAGTACTCCGTATATCTCTAACATTTATTATATAAGTGCTCATTTTGCACTTTATGTTATGTTTTCAACTTATATAAAATATGTATGCATATATATGCTACTAATGTGGCCAATAACTTTTGGAAAATTAGCTTTATTTATTCATTTTTGGAAAATTGACTAGTAATCAAGACTGAAATTCACTTAATTAAGTTTTGAAGTCTAGACTTCTCGTAAGGAAGAGTGAGTCTACGACCAGCCGAGCTGGATGGTTTCCTCATTGACTCATATATTCATATGTACTCATCACCTCATCGTTGTACACAACGGTGTTTTAATAAATTTAAGCCAATGTTTGCGCAACTTTTTCTCTGCTAGTGCCTAGTGTACCAATAATCGTCAATCAATTTTGCCCTTAAAAAGGATGTATGTAGAAAAAGAGAAGGTAAAAAACATTTACCTGGAATATGAGGAAATTTGCTAGGAAGGATCGGACGCAATGCACCAGATTGAACTTTCCAATCAACCGGATTTATACTTGCCGCCTCCAACTTAATCAAGATTTGACCATTCTTAGGAGTAGGGACAGGAATTTCAACATGCTGCAAAAACCAAAATCAGCCCATTTTTTCGTTTACCATAACACAAACACTATTACCTTTTGTGGCATTTATAGTTTTTTAAACAAATCTTTCTAATACATTATAGTACATGTTCTTTTGTTAAGACCAACATCCATAAACTGGGATGAAATTCGAACATGTAACCTCCTCATTGGGAGTGTCATGATGATCCCACAAGACTACAAGGTACTTGGCTTTGTGAAATTTATCGTTAAGAATTAAAGGACATCCAGATTCCACTATTAAATTCTCTCAAAATTATTCATCTTCTTTAATTTATACTCCATCTGACTTGAAATTAAGTTCCTAATTTGATTTAATGGGTTTTCAGGTAGAATAGAAAATAGATTTGGTTTTTTAAAAATGCTATTGGGTTATTAAAAGGTGTAGTAAACAATTGCATATAATAAAAGGGGTAATGAATGGTGAAATGAGAGTAAGACACATCAATTAAATGAAGTGATGTGAGCGTAAAAGAGTAAATGAGTAATAAAAACGTAATAAATATAGAAAAATGTTGAAGTAAGAGCTTAATATTGGATATCACAAAAAAAATTGAGAACTTAATTTCGGGACAAGAAAGTAGTACTCCGTATAAATTACAAATTTTATGCAAATGAACCCAAAAGAGTTGATTAAGGTGATGATGTAAGACTCGTTTAAATCAAACAAATATCATTCCATTCGCATTTATAAAAGAAGTTGAGAAAGGATGGAACCCAAAATGTTACAGAAGAGAATAAATACTACTCGTACATAAATCAAATAAAATAAGGAAAAATTAACCTTCAAAGCTGAGGCTCCTCCCCCATAGCTATCAAACTGCACCGCACGCATAATCTGTCTGGCGGCAGACATGACTTGTGTTTTACCAATTTGTGGTAAAAAAAAAAAAGATTGATACTCCGTATGTTATTACTGTTACGGAGTATTTGTGAATGGATTTGTTTTTGTGATTTAAGTATATATAGATAGATGAAGATAATGACCTGGGCGGTAAGATTTTATTCGCTGCGTGGGTGACGGCAATGCATAAAAATTGACGTGATCCATGAGCTATTTTTTTTACAGCTAAGTCACAAGGTCGCACCCCATTTTTCAACAACTTTGACCGTCGTACTAATGTATAATTAACGTGATGCATAAAAATTGATGTCATCCATGAGGCTATATAGAGATGGGCAATTGGTTGGGTTTTATTCGGTTTCTATTTATTCGGTATGTGAGAATTTGTACAAAACTAAAACCATTTGTTTTTTTGGTTTAGCTTCGGTTCGGTTCCGGTTTGGTTCGGTTTGAAATTTGGTTTAATAAAGTGAAAAGTATCATGTTCAATTTTGTTCGATTTGATTCGGTTTTTTATGTTTATTATTTTATTTGATCAAGTTCTATATTTTAGAATTAGAAAATGATAGTAGTAGTTCATCTCATCTTCTTTTTTTATTCATCATCATCATTACGCAGCCATACTCCTGTATTAAAGCACAGGGAGACTGTTTCCGGATGACCCATGATAAAAATCGCGTCGAAAATTGCATGAACTGACTGCTGCTTCATAACAAAGAAATGCAGACAGTTTAGAGAGTCATTTTGCTTTATTCCATCATATTCCCAAGCCAAAATAGGTAAACTTTTTTTATTATTTAAATAAAATGTGAAAGGAAACAAAAGATATAAAAAGAAGTAATAAAATATTACGTAGTACAAATTAAAACTTCTAACATCTATAAAAAGATGTTAAAAATAATAAAAATTCGGCGCATTATCCCTCTGTAATTTAAAAAATGTGTCAAACCCCTTCTAAGAACAAATTTAATTTCCAAAAAAATGAAAAATGGTTAGTTTTTTTTTTTTTGTATAATTTAGAAATTTTGACAAAGTTACTTGCATATTCAATCATATTATTAAAAAAAGTGATTTCAAAATTTTAAAATTTGTTCTTGGAGGGGTTTTGCCCATGATTAGTCATAACAGATGAGAGTTTGACGCATTTTTTAAATCACAGGGGGCTAATGTGCCAAATTTTTATTTCATAAGGGGGTTTGATGCATTAAACCCATTAATAATATCATACTTCGTATAAAATATTCAAAGAAAACTAAAGGAGTCGGTGGTACAAATGTTGTAATATTCAAAATTTTATTCAAATGAATTGAATCATGTAAAAAATATAAATGCACATTACTATTGTTATCACCAAACATCCTTTCATAGAGGTAGAGTACAAAACATAACAAATCTATATGCTAAATATGTATTTCATGTCTAAATTATTTATTTAAGTCTTGAAAATGAAGAGTGAAGACAAATACAAAGTGTGTGTGTATTATATAACCTTAACATATATTATAATATACTACGTATACAATATATATTACAAGTTGTTCGGTGTTCGGTCCCGTTTATGGTTTTTCGATTTTAAACCAAACCAAACCACCATTTTTCGGTTCGGTTAAACCAAACCATTTTGCCCAACCCTAAGCCTATATATAAGAAACCTGATCGGAAAGCGACCCAGTCACATGGTCAACCCGGACTCTGTCGGGTCAACCCGATCAATGCAAAAAACCGGTCAACCATTTCATTCATTTCATTTTCATTTACCCCAGTGTCGTAAAGGCTCCCACCTACGGTGGGGTAAGAGGGTCGGATGCACATAGTCTTACCCCTTGTACTAAAGCACAGAGAGACTGTTTCTGGATGACCCATAGCGAAAATCGCATCCAAAAATGCATGGACTGGCTGGTGCTTCATAACAAAGAAACGCATACAGTTTAGTGAGCCATTGTTTTATTCCATCATATTTTCAAGCCAAAATATAACGAATCTTTGGCTCCATTGCAAATGATGGAAAAATTATAATAATAAACATATTATTATATGCAAAATTAAATAAAAAGTAATTGTTACATAATAATGGTAATAATAGTAACTAATGGTAATATTTACTAAGTATTTAAAAGTTAAAACAATGTCATTAAATTGCAAACTATCATCTTGATCTTATTAAAATATATAATGATACTCCATATTTGTAATTTGTATTGTAAATTTATTATATAATTTAATTTGATATGAATTTTATTCTTAAACAATTAAGTAGTATATAAATATATTGCACATTTTTTCTTTTTAGGGTATTGCAATTCGAAATTTATTGGTTAAATATGATTTAAAATTAGAAAACAAAATCTTTTGGTTTCCAGGTTTGTCGTTTTTTTGGATCTGGGTTTGGACCAGGTTTTTCCAGGTTTTTACCAATTTCGGGTTTTTAACTAACTGAACCGGGTTCTAGTCCGGGTCGACCCGGCTGGTCCATGTCTATTTTTTAAACATAGCCATGGGCACCTCTCTCCATATTTTCTCAACATTGTTCCAAAAAATATTAGTGATTTGTAAGAGAGATAGAGCAAAAAAGAAGTGAAGAGGGGAAATGGTGAAGAGTGTGACTCTATGTTTACGTACCATCTATATATGCCAATTCACCAATATTTCTGTTTCATAAAATTTGGTCAAATTTGACTTACACGTGAAATAATACAATAAATAATACGGAGTATGTGATTATGATTTGTGCAGATGAGAGAAATGAACTTTAACTACAAATTTATTACTTCGAAGGAAATAACACAATTTTTCGAGACGGTTAAATAAAAAAATATGAAAAAAAATTATGGGATAGAGGCAATATTTGTTACTCTCTACTACTCGATATTAAAGATTATGTTCCAAGTGCATTCAAATTTAAGAAAATTGTAAACATTTTAGCTCTATTTTGTTGAACTACTTACAGTCCAAAACTAAATGAGATCGAGTCATATAGAATAGATTTAAACAGAAAATTTCACGTACTTCAAAAGTCAATGCTACTTTAATGACATTTTGTTTACTAATTGAAGATGACAATGATACTAGCTCTTTTGAAAATGCATTTTGTTTTAGAATTGAAGATGACAATGTCACGTTTTCTAATCCAAAATCTCATTTGACAACTAGTGTCATTTTTATGTCACTAACTTTATGAAGATTATGTCATTTTTTTTACTCCAAAGGGCGTCTGAGAGAGGGGGTTCTAGGGGCCTGAAGTAAACTAGACAGAAACTTAGTCCATTGAGTTTTGAACCTGAGACCTCCCATAGAGTGAGTCGGTGGTGATCAGTTGAGCTGCACCGCTTCCTCTATGAAGATCGTGTCATTATTTTATAGAAGAAATACCACTTATGGTCCTTCGTGTTTTGCACCAATTCCACAATTAGTCCTCATCTTTCACTTTATCCACTTTTGGTACCTGACTATTGTTTTCTTGACCATATATATGTTGGGGAAAACATGACCCCCTACTACTTCCAAGATCACCAGCTCAAAGGACTCTTGTACATTTACCCACCCACTCGTAACACAAAGATTCAATCTAACAATATCACTTTGTATTATACAATTGAAATGTACAATAGATAATTTACAAGTAAACGGGTAGCTCACATCACTCTATGTATGAGACTACTTCACTCTCACATCCCTCTCTAGAGGAGGCCTTCACTTAATCAATAGTCCTCCTCAAGGATCTCTCTCTCATCACTTGAGGAGGCTCTCTATAGGCTCTCTCTAGGCCCTCACATGGCTCTCTCACTAAGCTCTCTGCTCTAGGAATGAGGAATCTCACCCCTATTTATACAACTCATCTCAAAGCTTCTCTAGAACTTTCTATACATCACTACATTTCTAGATTCTTCCAAGAACTATCCACAAGCTTCTCTAATCATCTAGAAGGATCTAGAGAACTCCACATCGCTTGAGAATGTTCTAGAGGCTTCCACAAACTTCCGCACGATTCTAGAGAATTCCACATTTCTCTAGAAAACTCCACAATGTTCTAGAATATTCTACACTCTTTCACACGCTTCTAGATAATTCCACGTCTCTCTAGAAAGCTCCTGAATATTCTAGAACATTCAATATTTCTCTACACACATCTAGAGAATTCTAGACATCTCCGCACTATTCTAGAATTCTCATTAACTTCTCAATTAAGGAGGGATCCCAACAATATAGTCCTTTTCCGGTAGTAAAAATGCCTAGAGATGGACCGAAAATGGTTAAGAAAACAATAATCAGGTACCAAAAATGGATAAAGTGAAAGACGAGGACTAAATATGGAAATGACACAAAACTCGGAGGACCTAAGGTGGAATTAATTCTAGGGAAATTTGTTGATTCAGTCCCATAACTTATAGCTATATCCGATATTGGTCCTGTAACTTTATTAACTTGCAATTTACATCCCGTAACTAATAAGTTGATGCAATTTTGGTCCTTCTCTACCGGAACTTATCAATTTCGTCGGAAAAAGACACATCACCTGCCACATGGTATATTATTTGGAACTCATTTGCTGACTTAATATTGACACTTAGCTGGAGTTAAAAAACCAGAGTACGAAAGCTCTTCGCTAAGTGCGTGCACAACCATACCAAGCCTATTATCGGATCTGCAAAAGGGGGGAAGAACATATAACTCTACCTGAAGATTTCTCCTGAACTAAGTCGAGAGAGTGAGTTATTCTTCAAATCTGCTAGTAACGGCTCTCGATCAGACAAAAGTTTATGGAGTGTGATTGTGGTAAAAAGGTTTCTCTTCTAACTTCTTGGACTGATAACGATCCTGGAAGGAGGTTTCGTGCACGCGCTAGAAGCAGAGTAAGAAGTTCAGGTTTTTAATTTACATTGTTTGCTTCTTTTTTTACTAAATAAACTAGAAATTTAAGAATAGCATTTGAATAATAAATTTGTTTGAAAATTAAAATGTATTTTATATTTTAAGTTAGGTTCTGCTAATAAAATTGCCATCTTCTATTTGTTGGGGGCATTTGATAATGTATTTTTGTGTTCAAAGCAGTAAAAAGTAAGTTAAGCTTCATCTTGTTTTGATACAGACA